GCTACACTTTTTGTTCTTTCATCACTTTTGAAAAATAGTTTTCTAGCACCTCCCTCCCTTGTTAGACTGTCATGTCCTCCTGCTAGCATCCTGCCTGCTTCTAATTATGGTACCCCCCCAACCCTTTCAAATTAGCCATGTCATCGCTGCTAGGAAATGGGAAGCCAACTAACGTTGGTAGAACTGTTTACAAACTAAGAGTAATCAGACCCTGAATGAGGAACTGAGGAACTTTTCTGTCTAAAGTAGGTGAGTATTTATGACATGGACTTTGTGACATTATTTTGGCTACTCAGAGACTTTTTTTTCCCCTTTTCTCTTGATTTCTAATTCTTAGATAAGTTACAACTAGCTGAGCTTGCTAGGTAAGTGAGTAACCTCTGGATAAATGATGTTTTATAGAAGGTCTCTCTGCCTTCAAGTAGTTTACAGCCTAGTTAGGGAGATGAAACACAAATATGCAACAAGCTAAAGAACAATGCAAAGCTGAAATAGAAGCTCAAGATAAAAGTCTAAGAGATGTCACAAGTCAATGAATGAGTAATTGCCCAATGTACAAAGGTAATAAGTGGTATGAGAGTTCAGAAGCAAGACTGAGAACTGTAGACTGGGATAGTCTACAGAGATGATGTCACAGCGATGATGATGGGGGACACTAAGGAACATAACAAGTAGTTTACAATGAGAAGAACAAGACATATACACGTGGAAAGTTATACAACAGGACAGGGCAGGATAGTAGTGAGATAAGAGATATCTCAGCTGCAAAATCTAGATTGTGGTAACTGATAACCTCAGACTGGGTGCATGAGAGAAAAGGGACAGCTCAGAAAAATTTTAAAAAAAATCTTCGGCTTGGATACACAGACCTAAAAGTACCTGGAGATAAGAACATAAATGCACCTAGATGCCTGGCAGAGGTGCCTAGGGGTTACTTTAGCTGACAGCACCTGCCAAATGGAGCCCAAGAAAGCTTCATCCAAAGCAGATAAGGTAGCAACAATCATGTTTCCCCTATTCCCAGTATACCTCTTTCTTGGAACAGCTGTAGAGTCCCCCTGGTTTATGGCCCTGCTCTAGCCAGAAAAAGTCTAGGTTTTGGTGTAATATAAACCCAGCCTTCAAGATTACAGATAAAATCAGCATGGATACAGTTGGATGCATGGATGCAACCACCAACAGAGGCTGAGCCGGGATTCTTTGGCACATGTCTGAGGAGTAGGGAGGAGAGGTAGAGTGTAGCCTACCATCTTTCCTTGTACACAGCAAACCTCCTATATACAACCTCCTTCAGGTTCCTCTCCAAGGCAACTGAAGGTTCCAAAGTACTTTCCTAGGATGTTAAGGAGAGTTTCAGGCAACAATAGGCTATAGGCTGCAATGGTCACTTGATTTTTAGTTGTTGAGTCACAGATTATACATTATAACCTAATTTTAAAGGTAAATGGGACCCTACAGATTGCTTAGTTCAAATCCCTCATTTTGTTGATGAGGAAGTTACGGGCCAAAGAGGTTAACTACTTGCCCAAGGTCATGCTGCCAATGTGTGACAGGGTTAAAAGGAGAACCTTGGAGGGCGGCTAGGTGGCACAGTGTATAGAACTCTGGCCTTGGAGTCAGGAGGCTCTGAGTTCAAATCCAACCTCACACACCTGACACGTACTTAGCTGTGTGACCCCTGGGTAAGTCACTTCAGCCTGATTGCCTCACCAAAGAGCAAAAAACAAACAAACAAACAAAAAAGAATAGAACCTTGGTCTCCTGATTCCTGTTGGCCATGGTCTTAATCCAGTTCAGTCTTACCTGGGACAATGGGCCTCTCCTCCTAGGCTTACCTTATAGTGAATCAGATTCCCATTTCCCCATCCCCAAATGCTCTAGACCTGTCATAGCCATGCCGGGGGTGGGGGTGGGGGACGGGTACCACCTTTGGCACCTTTTGTCCTGCTGCTACACGCTGGGGGAGAAGAGGAGGGTGTAGCAGAATTCAGGAAGCTTAGAGCTCAGGAACATGGGTCCCCTGTGAAACCGAAAAGCTTCTGCATGAATAAACAATGAAACAAGGATAAGAAAGTAAGTTGTAAATTGGGGGAAAAGATCTTTCAGATATCTCTGATAAGAGTTTGATATCTGAAATTTATAAGACCAACAGCAATGGATAAGTAGTGAAAGGTTATGAATAAATGGTTTTCAAAAGAAGAAATGCAAACTATTAATAACTATATGGAAGACTGCTCTAAATCACTAACAAGAAAAATATAAATCAAAACAATTCTGAGATTTCACTTCCTATGTAACAAATGGACAAAGATGACAAAAGATGGGCCTCATCAGTTTTGGAGGAGTTATGGAAAGACAGGCACACACTAAAGCACTGCTGGCTCTCCTCTGCGTTCTTGCCACCAGGCCTTGCACAATCTACTTCACTGTTGCTCCTCTTTCCTATCAACTGTCACTTCTCCTTAGCGGAAGGATGGATGCTAGCAGGGAGAAAGGTAGAAGTGGTGGGAAGGGACTGAAAGCTGACTGGCCCACTGGGATTTGGAGGGATCTCAGTCTGAAATGAAAATGAAGCTCTAGATGGAGCAGTGTGGTTCTAGCCATCAGATTAAGAAAACCAACAAAGCAACTTTTCTCCCCAAGCATCACTATTGGCCCAAGTAGTTCGTCAAGGTGTTCAAGTGTGTGGTGTAATGGAAGGATCTCTACAATGGGAGCCAAGAGACTTGAGCTCTAGATGTGGCTTTGTGTGGTCAAAGTTCTTTGTGGTTTGAGTTCTAGATGTGGCTTGTGTTGGAGATGTATCTAAACTAGCCGGATGACCTTGGACAAATCATTCTACCACTCTAGTCACAACTTAAGTTGGTCCCTCCCCTTCCCCCTTCATAGAAGATGAAAGATGAGAACTGCTTAGAATGAGAAGGCATAGATGGGTTGAAATATGTACTGGCAGAGGGAATGCCTAAATTAATGAGATCACAGATTCTATTAAAGTACAAGGATTATAATAATGATACCTTACATTCAAATAGTTCATTACCAGCAATGATACCTTTCCCTTGTAGTATATGCTGTGATTTATAAAGCACTTTCATAGACATCATCTCATTGATTCTCACAATAACTACGTGATGCAGGCAGGGCAGGTATTGTTATCTCCATTTTACAGATATGAAAACTGAGGCTGAGAGTTTCTTACAATCCAGTTAGGAACACAAGAGATGGTTGGTAAATGATACAGTGCAAAGAGAATGGGGTCTGGAGTCAGAGGACCTGGGTTTGAATCCCACCTCTGATGTATATTACCTGAATGACTTTTGGGTAAATCACTTAACTTTCTTGGGCCTTTGGTTCTTAAGGACTGTAAAATAAGAGGGTTAAACTAGATGGCCTCTGAGGTCCTCTAGCCCTATGATCTTTCAATCCTAAGAACTCAGGTGTTCAGATTCAGTACATTTTACAGATTCAGTGCCACTTTCTTCAATAGATGGTCTTCACATCCAGCATGCTACCTAATAAGGCGCCCTGTATGCAATAGCTGCTTAATAAATATTTGTTGATTGAATTAATAAATGGAAAAGTCCAGAAGGCCACCCATACCTTTCTGCTGCCAATTTCTTCAGGACAAACACTTAACCTGGGTGGGGCAAGGTGCTGGCCCAAAAATCAGCGGGTCCAGACCTGATGTGTTCTCTGTGGAGGCGAAAACGAACCACTGCCTAGAAACATCTTTAAGGAATTTAAAGTGTCGACCTAACACCATGACTAGGGGCTAGGAATAAGGTCTGCAGTTTATATATCAGAGAATGAGACTGGTGTCATAGGTGAAGACTTCAGTTCTTCCCTTTGCCCCCATAGTGAGAGGAATTTTTTTTCCTTTACTGAAAGAATTCCCAAAGCCCAAGTTCTGTTATGTGACTATTCTTGACATTCCTCTCTGTCTCATTGTCCAAATCTCTACTGTAGCCAGGGAGCCCTCCATGGCTACATCTCAGAGACTTTGGCCTCAGAGGCCCCTTCTCCTTTCTTTTCATCCAAGCCTCTCTTTGAGGCAGGGCAAGGACTCTATCTTTAGGTGACCAGGGGAAGGAGGTAGCAAGGGTAGAAGAGGCAGCAATAATCCTAGAGTGGTGAATAAAGAAAGCTGGGGCAGAACCACTCACCATACGTTAGGCCAGGGGGAGCAGAAATGGGGCACCTTGGAGGGCTATGTTCAGTTTAATTTCCTGCTTTGGTTAAAAAATAACCAGGCCTACAGCTCAAAGGCAAAGTCCAGGGGTTATTTTTAACTCTGAACCAGATTCCATCATCTCTACACATCTTTCATCTTGGTCCTCACCTGCAACACCAGGACAGCCCTAAGTAGTCCCTTGATGGTGTTATATCCTCTCCCTTTCATAAGTTTAGGCTACCCTCCAAGATTTTCCTTAGCTTTGCTCCTGAAATTCTCTGCTTTCTCTCCTTCCATAGTTTCTTCAAGGAGCCAGCCCTCAGGCACTCAGTTGAGCTCAGAAAGTATGAATCATTGTAAAAGGCAGGATTAGCTAGACCCAAAGATGACTTCTCAGGGATTTTTTCAGGCCTTCCAAGCCCAGAGGGTGATGTCTCCCTACTGCCTCTGACCTTCTTTTAATGCTTTGTAGCCTTTTATCCCAAAGCCTTGAACCCGAGGGCAATTAGGTTCCTAGAACTCAGTCCCTTGCAGGTAGGACCTAGGATATGTGCAGACTTGTAGTGACCAATTCCCAGGTGGAGACTAGGACATAGAGGTGCAGTCAGACTGAGTCCTTCAAGTGAAGGACACCATGGACAGCAGCAACCTGGCTCTTCCCCCCTTATCCCAGAGCTCAAACTAGATATACCCCACTGGCAGTGGTGGAGTGAGAACAGGAGCTAGAATTGCTCTCTAAGCCTCTTACCATGGGGTCTGATTTCATGGCTCTCCATCCTCAGCTGAGCCATCGGGTATTTGTCAACTTATCTCCCCTCAAGGAACTCACATTCTTTCATCATGCCGATGTCCACACAGCGCTTCAGTCGGCAGGCTTGGCAATGACGTCGATTGTCCTTGGTGATGCGGCAGTCACCATTGAAGGGACAAGTGAATAGGGCCTTCCGTTTCATGCTCCTCCTGCCAAGAGATCAATGGGGGAATGGCTGAATAAGTCGTGGCATACGATTATTTTTTTAAACATATATAAATTTATTTATTTTTAGTTTTCAACATTCCCTTCCACAAGTTTTTGAGTTCCAGATTTTCACCCCATCTCCCCCCTTCCTCTACCCCAAGATGGCATGCATTCTGAATATCCCTTCCCCTAGTCTCTCCTCTCTTCCATCTCTCTCCCCTTCTCTTATCCCCTTCCCCATCTATTTTCCTGTAGGGGTGGCATATGATTATAATGGAATACTGCTGTGCTATAAGAAATGATGAAGTCAATGATCTTAGAAAAACAGAAATGGCAGACATGATCTTGTCACCCATTAACAAGGCTTCCAGAATCGCCAGGGGAGAATCACAGACACTGGGAAAGAATCACTGTCCTCTTACTTCAGATTCTTACTAGCTATGTGACGCTGGGCAAAAAGCACTTAATAAATGTCTATCTCAGTTTCCTCACCTATAAAATAGGGACAACAGAACCTACCTCATAGGGTTATTGTGAGGATTAAATGCAATGATATATGTACATTGCAAAACCTTAAAGCTCTATATAAATGCTAGCTATAATAATTATTATTATACAACTATTATCCTCATTTTGTGAGGATAAAGAAACAGAGAAGTGAACTTTCATAATCAGAACTGGAACTCAGGTATTCTGCCTTCTTTCCCTTCGATTCTGACTAGCATTGGTGCCATGATAGCTTAATGGAACGGGGCAAACATTGCTGTAGTCATGGGACATGAGTTCAACCCTGGCTCCAATATTTATTAGGTGTATAATTCTGAACAAATCACTTGACATCTCCAAACTTGTTTCCTCATCCATCAAACAGGTATACACTACCTACCTTACAGAATTGTTGTGAAGAAAGCAATAAATAAAAATGAGTTAATTTTTCTACTAATTACAGCACACAAAAGGAAGAGCATGGAAGCCCATATCTAGAGAGAAGATTAGGGAAAAGAAAAGTTGTGGAAGAGACCTATCCATAGTCTCTTTTACAAGTGACTTTGGGTTGGAAGCCTCTATAGCTGGTTTATACAGCATCCATTGCTGATAGTATAGATAATAAAGGAAAAGGAACTAGGACTGGATGGAAAAATTGCTAGATTTTGAGTCAGAGGACCTGGATTTGAATCCTTGCTCTGCCTCTATATGGCCACAAATAACTTATTTAACCTCTCTGGGTTTCAGTTTCCTCATCTGTAAAGTGAACGAAGCTGTTACAAAGTAGAAAAATCACTGGTTTTGGAGCCAGAAAACCTGGATCCAAATCTCATCTCTGACACTTACTACATATGTGACCTTAGAAAAGTCACTTAAATCTCTCTGGACCTCAGTTTCCCCATCAGTAAAATGAAGGGCCTGGACTAGGTGTCCTCTGAGATTCCTTTCAGCTTTAAATCTACGATCCTTTGAAAATGAAGGGGTTGCATTCAATTCGATAAGGACTAGACTGGTAATGTCCTTGGTACAGGGAACTCCCAGGTAGGGAAACTCCCTCTACCAGTGCAGGTTGTCATCTTTGCAACTTAGAGTCTTAAAGAGTTTCCTGTACTTGCTTGGAATCATATAGCCAGCATGTCTCACAGATGAGACTTGGACCCAGGACCCCCTCAATTCCAGGCTGGCTCACCACCTTGCCTCTCCCATTCCTTTAAGGATGTGTAAATCACTTTCTCCACGACAGTTTTGTGAGATGGGGCCTACCAGTATTACCCCTTGCTCTCAAGGTTGACCAGCTCTAAATTTAGAATCTAGCTCTAAATCTATGTTTGTATCCTAACTAGACTATATTTGCCTTAAGATAGGAACTCAATCTCATCCATTTCCATGGCTTTAATTTTCCTTTCTTTTCTTTTCTTATCAGTAAGGTTGCTTTTGACAAGTTGCAAGCTTGTCTTAGTGTGTCCACACACAAACCAGGGTGTTTAGGTAACTTCAATGTTCCCACAGTCCAGGTGCTGGGGATAGCAGTGATTGCCCCAGTTCCCTGGAGCTGAATCAGATTTAGAACAGAAAGGGTTCAGAAGTCATTTGGTCCAACTGTCTCATTTTACAAATAAGGAAACTGAGGCTTTGAGAGGTTTTTGACTCATTATGGTTAGATGGCCATGATCACATAGCTAAGGTTTCCCTTACACATGGGTATTCTGGACACATGGATGCTCAGAGGCCCCAGTCTCAATTCCTTTGTTATAACACCAGGAGCCTTGCCCCTACCCAGCCCAGACTGAATCAGCTGTCACACCCTGCCCTACCCCAGTCTCAGAAATCCATGGCCATTGTCCAGCAATAACATTCCTTTGAGATTGTGAGCATTATAATTCATCTGCCATCCACTACACCCCCTATGAGTAGCAGACTCCCACCACCTGTTACTATCCCTATCCCTGTATTACTGAATTAGCAGCTTCCTATGAGCAAACTATCCCTGAGCTCCACTGTTTGGTCTCTCATCTCCTTCTTCCTCAATCCTACACATTATTCTATTGTATTCTTTGGCATTCCCATGCCATAGTGAACAAACTTCCCTTAATTCCTATTTTTCTTCTCATATTCCTTCCACCTACTTGCTCTCACTGAGACTTGGTTTCCACCAGATGACATTGTATCCATGGCCATCCTCTCTACCAAATACCTCCTATGCCTTCACTCACCCTTCCCCCACCCCAATACATACAATGGTCCTGGAGGGGGAGTTTGGGATGAACCTTACTCCCCACTGCCACTTCCAGGCCCTTTCTTCATTGTCATCACTCAATAATCTGTCCTACTTTGAATTTCATTCTAGTCAAACTTTTTATCCCATACAGTTCAAGGTGGCTTGAGTACCAACCCCCAAACCGTTCTTCTAGGTGCTCAGCACCTGGGTTACACACTTCCTCTTCTCCCCAACCCCTGTCTTTACCAGAAAACCTTAACATTCATGCTGATGCTCTCTCAAGCTCCCTAACCTCCCAATTCTTTTGTCTCCTGAAATCCTACCTTAGCCAAACACAGACATGAGCGTACCTTGGATGTCACCAGTGGAAAACAGCAAGTTTTCTAGTTTCTTAATAAAAAATTCTGACATTCCTCTAGCTGACCATAACTTATCATTCTGTCTCTCCATATGCTTCACCTCTAAACCTGTTCATCCTCATCTCAATCTTCAACCCCTCTCCTCTGACTCCTTTCTTCCCTTTCTGATCTTATAGTTAACCAATTCAACTTTACACTGTTCCCTACTCTCAAATTCCTCATTCCTTTGTCCTGTTCTGCTCATCACTTGCCAAAACCCAGTATTAGATTACTCTCACTATCTTACTCACAATCAGAGCTGGAGAAAGTCACAGAACCACAATGATAGGGTCTATTATAAATTCATGTTCATCAGTTTCAACTGGCCGCGAGGCATTCCTTCCTCATCCCATGTCTCGCAGAAGCCCTTCCAAATCTTCTTTCTCTTCTCAAGCTTCCCATATCTTCTTCTCCTTCTGCCCTCTCAACTGAGAAGCCCCACTCTTACCTTACTGTAAAAACTGAGGACTTTATCATCATGAGTTCCCATTTCTTCCCTTCCCTCTATCTCAAAACCTCTTGCCATAATTCTTCAGCATTCATTATCTTTTCCCCCAAATCCACTCCTCTTCCAAACTTTCCTGTTCCTGCTAAAGACACCACCATTCTTCTCATCTCCTAGGTTCATAATCTCAGAATTGTCCTCTACTTTTCACTCTCCCTCACTCCACATACCCAATCAGTTGTAGAATCTTGATGTTTCTACCTCTACAACATTTCTTGAATCTGACCCCTCCTTCCTACTCACCCAACCACTGCCTTATTTCAGGCCCTTATCACTTCTCACCTAGACTATTGTAATGACCTCCTAATTGGCCTCCTTGATTCAAAGCTGTTTCCACTCCAATCCTTCTTCCACTCATTTGTCAAAGTGATTTTCCTAAGTCACAGGTCTGACCAAATGACTCTGCTTCTCAATTTCTCCAATGGCTTCTCTACTGCCCTCAGATAAAATACGAACTCCTCTGTTTAGCTTTTAAAGCCTTTCACAGTCTGGCCTCCATCTATATTTCCAATCCCATTATACATTACCGCCCTTCCTACATTCCATGATCCGGCCAAAATGGCCGTCTCTCTGTTCCTAAGGTACAACCATCTCTCGTCTCCTCTCCTTTGCATTGGCTATTCCCTATTCCTGGAATATACTCTTCCTCTTTCCCTCCCTCCTTTCCTTGTTTTCCCCCAGATTCTTTCTCTTCATTTAAGATACAGCCTAAGGTACTACCTTCTACATGTAGCCTTCTCTGAACCCAGCCCCTTTGTTTACTATGTAATATATTCATATATATTTTATTGCTATATTATATGTATATTTATATATTGTCTACTCATATTAAATCTGAGTATATTATATTCTATAACACATTCATATGATGTTAATATGGTTTATAAGTGTTTTGTTTATTATATATTCATATTTATGCAAACATTTTATTATACTATAAATGTTTACATTGCACATTTAAATTTAATATAGTCACACGTATGAATATATTAGAGAATAAATAGAGTTAGGGGAGGCTATATGTATTGTTGTTTTTCAGTCATTTCAGTTGTGTCTGACTCTTTGTGACATGGTTAAGTGACTTGCCCAGGGTCACACAATTGGTAAGTAATTGAGGCTAGATTTCAACTCAGATCTTTCTAATTCCAGGTCCATGTTCTAACCATTGTGCCACCCAGCTGCCTCAGGCTATGGGTGTGTATGTATATGCACACACACACACACACACTCACACACTCATATACACACACACAGAGTATGTGTATGCGTATACACATGCACACTTGTCTCTGTACCTACCTGGCACACAGTAGGCACAATAAATACTTATTGGATGCTTCATTGGTATGGGACTAGTTTGAATCTTTATCACTCACCAAACTTCATGTACTTCCA